TCGCTACATCGTGCAAGTGTCGCCACTCGGCATCCGCCTGTTGGAAGGAGGTGGGTGGGCCACGCGGGCAGGCGGGATGGGGTCCAGGGCTAGCGCGTGCCGACTGCCCTTTGCTGACCAGCCTGTGTCCGCAGTGAACCAGCTGCATTTCATCCCCGTGGACCTGGGCTCCCCCATCGTGCAGTGCGCCGTGGCCGACCCCTACGTGGTCATCATGAGTGCCGAGGGCCACGTCACCATGTTCCTGCTCAAGAGTGACTCGTATGGGGGCCGCCACCACCGCCTGGCGCTGCACAAGCCCCCGCTGCACCACGTAGGCTCCCTCCTCCGTCCCTGGGGCCGACTGACCCCGCCCCCCGCCCGCCCCCCCCCCACTGAGCCCCCCTATCCCCGCAGCAGTCCAAGGTGATTACGCTCTGCGTGTACCGGGACGTCAGCGGCATGTTCACCACCGAGAGCCGCCTGGGCGGGGCCCGCGACGAGATGGGCGGCCGCAGCGGCTCAGAGGCCGAGTGCCAGGGCTCAGAGACCAGGTGTGTGCAGGGCTGGGCTGCAGGCTGGGACCGGGGTCCCTGGGGCAGGCTGCCTGTGACTGACGTGTCTGCTGGCCCCCAGCCCCACGGTGGATGACGAGGAGGAGATGCTTTATGGGGACTCGGGCTCCCTCTTCAGCCCCAGCAAGGAGGAGGCCCGCAGGAGCAGCCAGCCCCCCGCCGACCGGGACCCCACCCCCTTCCGGGCTGAGCCCACCCACTGGTGCCTGCTGGTGCGGGAGAATGGAACCATGGAGGTGGGTGGCGCCCCGTGTCCAGCGTGGCCCCGTCCCCCGCTCGTGCCCCGCCGCTCGTGCCCCGCCCCGCCCGGCTAGCTGCCGCTGTCCCCGCAGATCTACCAGCTCCCCGACTGGCGGCTGGTGTTTCTGGTGAAGAACTTCCCTGTGGGGCAGCGGGTCCTGGTGGACAGCTCCTTTGGTCAGCCCACCACCCAGGGCGAGGCCCGCAAGGAGGAGGCCACGCGCCAGGGCGAGCTGCCCCTCGTCAAGGAGGTGCTGCTGGTGGCGCTGGGGAGCCGCCAGCGCAGGCCCTACTTGCTGGTGAGTGCGGCCCCGCCCGCCCCCGGGCTCTGCACGCTCGTGTACGAGGCCTTCCCCCACGACTCACAGCTCGGCCAGGGGAACCTCAAAGTTCGCTTCAAGAAGGTGCAGCGGCTGGGCTCTGCTGGGTGTGGGGAGGGTGTGGAGCGGGGCGGGGGGGACCTGGCCCTCACGGCCGCGGCACCCCCCCCCCAGGTCCCGCACAGCATCAACTTCCGCGAGAAGAAGCCAAAGCCGTCCAAGAAGAAGGCCGAAGGCGGCGGTGCTGAGGAGGGCGCCGGGGCCCGAGGCCGCGTGGCGCGGTTCCGCTACTTTGAGGACATCTACGGCTACTCGGGGGTAGGCTGGCGGCTCCAAGGGAGCCTGGGCTGCGGCCGACAGGGCCCTGGCCCCAGCGGCCTGCTCACACTGCCCGCCCCCAGGTGTTCATCTGCGGCCCCTCGCCCCACTGGCTCCTGGTGACCGGCCGGGGGGCCCTGCGGCTGCACCCCATGGGCATCGACGGCCCCGTGGACTCCTTCGCCCCGTTCCACAACGTCAATTGCCCCCGCGGCTTCCTGTACTTCAATAGGCAGGTAGGAGGCCCCACACGGCCCAGCCTGGCTCCCTGACGCTCGCCGACGCTGCCCGAGCGGGACCAGGTGCGGGGCCCAGAAAAGGGGCCCTCAGGGGCTCGGGATGGGGAGAGTCAGGGGGTGTCCAGACGGTGCTGGGAGCCCAGGCCGAGTTGGGGAAGTCGGGACTGGAGGCTGTAGCCCACAGGGGCACCCGCCTGGGCAACCAGGGTCCAGTCACCGCTCTGCTGGCTTGGACCCCAGCTCTGCCCCTTAGAAGCTGTGTGACTGGGTGAGATGCTCACCCTCGCTGAACCTGAGTTTCCTTACCTGTCACCAAGGTGTCAGCACTCTGAGGACTCAGTGATGGTGACGTGGTAGGTGATTTGTAGGCGCTGGCGCGCTTACAATTGCGGGCGGAGGAAACCGGCTCGGGGCCCCGGCAGGGCACCCGTGCTTGTTTGTGCAGACCCTGGCGTGGCCTGTGTGTGTGCCGCCCACCCTTTGCCTGCGGCCTCCAGCACCCCCTGAGCCTGACTCTTCCCTTGTCCCGGCCCAGACCACAGCTGTGGCCAGTGTCCCAGCCCTGGGTGAGCTTGGCTGAAGGGATGGGAAGCCCACAAAGCACAGGACAGTGGGCCGTGGTCTCTCCAAGGCCTTGCCTAGACGCTGTGGAGGCCTGGGTTCATCGGCTTGGCCTTTGGGGTGTGCCAGCCCTCGCTAACCCCCTGCCCCACCCAGGGCGAGCTGAGGATCAGTGTCTTGCCTGCCTACTTGTCCTACGATGCCCCGTGGCCTGTCAGGAAGATCCCGCTGCGCTGCACGGCCCACTATGTGGCTTACCATGTGGAGTCCAAGGTCTGACACTGCCCCCCCTCCCCACCACACCGGGGACCTTTGGGGCCTGGGGGCCTGGCCTCTGGCATGTGACGCCCTCCCCCGCCCCCCAGGTGTATGCTGTTGCCACCAGCACCAACACGCCGTGCACCCGCATCCCGCGCATGACGGGCGAGGAGAAGGAGTTTGAGACCATTGAGAGAGGTGCGAGGCGCCCCAGGCTGGGCCGGTTCTCGGGGCCACCCTCCCTGACTGTCACCCCTTTGTCCGTGCAGATGACCGTTACATCCACCCTCAGCAGGAGGCCTTCTCCATCCAGCTCATCTCCCCAGTCAGCTGGGAGGCCATCCCCAACGCCAGGTGAGGCTGGGCCCAGGTCGGGGCTGGTGGCTGGCCTGGGCTGCTGTCCCGGCCTGGGCTGCTGTCCCGACCTGGGTTAGCTGTCCCGACCTAGGCTCCTGTCCCGACCTGGGCTGGCTGTCCCGACCTGGGCTGGCTGTCCTGACCTGGGTTGGCTGTCCCGACCTGGGCTGCTGTCCCGACCTGGATTAGCTGTCCCGACCTGGGCTAGCTGTCCCGACCTGGGCTGCTGTCCCGACCTGGATTAGCTGTCCCGACCTGGGCTAGCTGTCCCGACCTGGGCTGCTGTCCCGACCTGGGCTGCTGTCCTCACCTGGGCTGATGCAGGATCGAGCTAGAGGAGTGGGAGCACGTGACCTGCATGAAGACGGTGTCGCTGCGCAGTGAGGAAACCGTGTCGGGCCTCAAGGGCTACGTAGCCGCCGGGACCTGCCTCATGCAAGGGGAGGAGGTCACGTGCCGAGGGCGGGTAAGCGGCCGGCAGGGGGTGGGAGACAGGCAGTGCCCAGCGGCCTGCACGCAGCCCCTGTGAATCACCCACCCGCCTTCCCTGACAGATCCTGATCATGGACGTGATCGAGGTAGTGCCCGAGCCGGGCCAGCCCCTGACCAAGAACAAGTTCAAGGTCCTGTACGAGAAGGAGCAGAAGGGGCCCGTGACTGCCCTGTGCCACTGCAACGGCCACCTGGTGTCGGCCATCGGCCAGAAGGTGTGCCCCTCTGCGCCCACCCCGGCACCCGCCGCTCACCGCCCACCCCTCACCGCCCACCCCTCCCACCCCGCAGATCTTCCTGTGGAGCCTGCGGGCCAGCGAGCTGACAGGCATGGCCTTCATCGACACACAGCTCTACATCCACCAGATGATCAGCGTCAAGAACTTCATCCTGGCCGCGGACGTCATGAAGAGCATCTCGCTGCTGCGCTACCAGGAGGAGAGCAAGACGCTGAGCCTCGTGTCCCGGGTACCGAGGGGCTGGGCTGCACGGTGCGTGGGTGGGTGCTGCCCCAGGCGCACCCTGACGTCCCTCCCCTCGCGGCCTCAGGACGCCAAACCCCTGGAAGTGTACAGCGTGGACTTCATGGTGGACAGCGCACAGCTGGGCTTCCTGGGTGAGCACGGGGGCCGGGGGCCCCGGGCCTTCGCGGGGGCTGGGGCTGGGGCTGACTGTGGGCCCTGTTCCCTAGTGTCTGACCGTGACCGCAACCTCATGGTGTACATGTACCTGCCGGAAGGTGAGCGGCCCCTCCACCCTCTCCTGGGCGGGGGGTCGGGCATGGGGCCGGGCAGGCGGTGACCTGAGGTCCCTCTGGCCCAGCCAAGGAGAGCTTCGGGGGCATGCGGCTGCTGCGCCGGGCCGACTTCCACGTGGGCGCCCACGTGAACACGTTCTGGAGGACCCCCTGCCGGGGGGCCGCCGAGGGGCCCAGCAAGAAGTCCGTCGTGTGGGAGAACAAGCACATCACGTGGTTTGGTGAGTGTGGGGCGGAGGGGGTTAAGGTGGCGGTGGGGCGTGGTGGGGTCCACGGGGCTCACACCGTGCCTGCTTTAGCCACACTGGACGGCGGCATCGGCCTCCTGCTGCCCATGCAGGAGAAGACCTACCGGCGGCTACTGATGCTGCAGAACGCACTGACCACCATGCTGCCCCACCACGCCGGCCTCAACCCGCGTGCCTTCCGGTGAGCCTGCCGCCCCCCTCTCCCACCACCCCGCATCTGTCCCGACTCTTCACTGCCTCCGTGCCTGCCCCCAGGATGCTGCACGTGGACCGGCGCGTCCTACAGAATGCGGTGCGCAATGTCCTGGATGGGGAGCTGCTCAACCGCTACCTGTACTTGAGCACCATGGAGCGCGGGGAGCTGGCCAAGAAGATTGGCACCACGCCCGACATTGTGAGCCATTGTCTTTTTCCTGATCTTAGAGGAAACGCCCTCACCCACCTCTCTCCCCACAGATCCTGGACGACCTGTTGGAGACGGACCGAGTCACTGCCCACTTCTAGACCCCCGGATACTGCCACTTCCCCCACCCCGCTTTTGTACAAAACACAAAGAAAAACATTTGTTTGATTTGAGAAGAGCATGTGGTCATTGCAGGCCCAACTCCAGGCCACAGTCACTCCAGTGCCCCCAGGTCTTTCTTAGGCGTCTGTGCCTTGGCCCTGGCCGGCCCCTCAGCCTGCGGTGGGGCGAGCTCTGTGGTCCTCCTGCCGGGGCTCCCTAGGTCTCCAGGTACTCGTACAGCCCCTTGGTCTTGGGCACGAGGCCCAGGTGGACCAGGACTCGGACCAGGAGGGCAGTGATCCGCATTGACAGGGTCTCCAGCCTGGGGTGGGGGAGTCAAGGGGTCGCAGGTTGGTGGGGGGTGGGCCCTGGCTACCCGCCCTTCGGACCCCGCGCGCCTGCTCACCTCAGGGCCACTTCAAACTTGAACGACTCCCAGATGACCCTGATGTGGCGCAGGAGGCTGGCGCCATAGGTGTTCTGGCACGTGGCGCCCGCCAGGCGGCTCCAGCCCCGGACTGCGCTGCACAGAGACCACCGACCGGCAGGCCGTCAGCCCGGCCTCCTGGCCCCGCCCCCCGCTGTGCGCACGCGCGGGGGCGGGGGTGGGGTCACCTCTTGGCCATGAGGAAGTGGCGGTCCACTGGGGCGCCCAGGGCGGCGTTGATGGCACGCACGGTGTTGAGGTTGCGCAGCACGAGCAGCATAGACCGCGGCAGGGCCTTGAGCACGGCCATGACGTCCTCGAAGTGCTCCCGCGCCATGTCCTGCATGTAGGCCGCCTCCTCACGGCTCAGCAGGCGTGAGCGCCACAGCTGGCCCAGGCGCACGGGCCGCTGCATGAGCACCTCGGAGAACAGCAAGTAGTCTGGGGGGGGCCTGAGCCAGGGCTGTGCCCCCTTCCCCGCCTCACACCCACCCCCCCGGCCTCACCTTGCACCCCGAGCTCAGCTGCGTGCGCCTTCATGGCAGCCTCGTCCCTCAGAATGACGGCCCGCCACAGCTGGCACAGGGCTGACCGATCCCTGGGGGGCCCGGCAATGAGCGGGGGGGAAGGCCAGCCTGCAGGGCGGGGTGGGGCGTGCCCACCCAGCCCCCGTACCCCCAGCTTACTTCTCATCCAGGAACTGGTACAGCCCGTGGTCCAGCAGCACCAGCTGTCCCTTCCCATCGGGGCCTTTCCGCACCAGGACTAGGGACAGGGCGCGCCGTCTCACACTGCCCCCATCCTGACCCCAGACCCGACTGCCACCCGCTCAGGCCTTTTCCTACCATTGCCAGGGTGGGGGTCAGAGTGGACGAAGCCTGTGTAAAATATCTGCTCGGCAAAGGCCTTGATCAGTTTCTCTGCTATCTGGGGAGAGGACAGGCCACAGGCCGTCATTCTGGGCCCACGGCACACGTACCCTCCCCCGCCCCGGGCACACAGCACTCACATCCCGCACTGCCAGCCCCATCGTCTTGATGGCCTCCACGTCGTTGACCTTGCAGCCCTCACAGAATTCCGCCGTCAGCACGCGCTGGGAGAGGACAGGTGCCTCAGCTCAGCAGGCCTGCACACCCCCGCCCAGGAGGGGACCCAGCCCACCTTGCTGGACACGTCCCAGTGTACGCGCGGCACCACAACATAGTGGAAGTGCTGCAGCTCCCGTGCACAGCGCTCGGCATTGCGGCCCTCGTTCTCAAAGTCCAGCTCCTGGGCCAGGGTCCCCTTCAGGTCCTGGGGGCACATGGGCAGCTGGAGGTCCAGGTCAGGAGGCGGCCCACCCCCGGCCCCATCGGGCCCCCACGGTTACCTGGAGGACCCAGCTGAAGCCGAAGCTGGGGTGCATGAGCTCAACGAGCTGCAGCAGGAGCTCCAGGGTGTGGATGTCGCCGTCGAAGCGGTCCCGCAGGTCGATGTACTGCACCTGCACGGGAGGCTGCAGGGAGGACTGGCCACCGGTGCCCGGGTGCCCCCCCGCGGGGGGCCCCGCGTACCTTCACGGCCACCACGGTGCCGTCGTGCAGCCTGGCGCGGTGCACCTGGGCCAGGCTCGCCGCCGCGATGGGCTGGTAGTCAAACTCCTGGAAGAGCTCGTGGGGCGGGGCCCGGAAGTCTTCGAGGAACAGCTCGTCCACCTGGCAGGACAGCGGGGTGGGGTGGGGGGCATGGCTCGGAGCAGCCTGCGGCCGCTTCCTGCCTCCACACTCCCGCGAGAAGGGCTCACCTCCCGGAAGCCCCGCGTGAGAGCCCTGTCCTCCAGCACCCGCAGCGTCTTGATGTACTCGGGGGGCAGCAGGTGGTTGAAGGAGCACAGCCCCTGGCCCAGCTTCACGTAGAGGCCCCCGTTGCTGATGGCCCCAGCCACCAGGGCGTCAGCCGCCCGCTGGTGACATGCAGACATCACCTCCAAGTACCCCGGGCTGTTCTGACCACAGGTATAGAGGGAAGGGATGGGGGTGGGCGGGCACCTCCACCTGGGCACCCCCATCCCCGCAGGCCGCAGGCCAGGACCAGCCAGGCCAGGACGCAGGAACAAACCTCCTCCACCCCTCGCAGGACGACATTTGTGCACCACCAGTAGTCCAGGGAGATCTGCAGGCCGACCCTCAAAGACCTGTGGGCAGAGGCTGCCCTCAGCCCCAGCGGGCACTCGCCTCAGATCCCTGTCAGCACCCCGGACCGCTGTGAGCACCTGGCAGGGCTGCTGGGCTCTCGGGACTGCGTGGCCAGCAGGTCAGTCTCAGCCACTGGGCTGTGGACTGGGCATCCTGCATCCACACCACCCCTCAGCCCCTGAACGTGCACCCAGGGGCGCCTGGACAGGAATGGGGGCCTCGGGCCCTAACAAACAAGCAGGCGTGCTCTTTTCATTCTTTGATAACACTTGTTACTCAAGAAAATCCATCCACAAGCTAGCACAGCTGCAATGGCTGCTCTGTCTGTGGACATGCCCTCACTCAGGCCCCCCTGCACCACTGGTCCTGTCTCCTCTGCACTCCGACTGGAGTGGACAGGAGCCCCTGGGGCTCAAACCCCAGGGCTGGGGCCTACTCTCCCGGCTGAGGGCACGGCCCTGGGAAGTCCCGCAGGCCCAGGCCTTCTGGTGTGGGCAGGGGTCCTCGCTCACTCCCACGCCCCAGGCTACGGACAAGGCGGCCCTGGGTCTGGAGAGGGGAGGATCCAGGACCAGAATCCAGGCCTCCAGTGCCGCAGACCCCAGCCCCTCAAACCGTCACGAGCAGGGTGTGGGGCTCCTGCTTCTCGGGGACCCGGTGCAGGCCAAGCCTCCACCCGCCCCAGCATATCCTGTTCCAGCCCCTCCGCCACGAGGGGCCAGGATGAAAAGGTGGGAAGGAAGAGGCGGCCAGATCCTGCACAGGCTTCCTGCCCTCCCAGCAGCTGTAGAGACCGGTGTCTTAGAGCAGTGAGGTCAGCCCAGACTGAGTGCCACGAACCGGGTCTGTCCCACCCACCCCAGCCTGACACAGGAAGCAAACAGGGCTGTCTGTGTGAGGCAGGATGAGCAAGGAGACAGGATTTCTCTGAGCACCCCGAGACCCAAAGAGGAGCTGCCCTCCTTCCTGAATAATTCGTCCAAAAGCTAATGCAAGGTCTGCACAGGGGTGAGGGTAGGGGTGCAGGTGAGGGCAGTGGGGTGATGGCTATACTCGGGGTGGCCTAGCTAATAAGTCAGTAAATTAGGGACAAGGGGAGCCGGGCTTCTCCCAGTTGCAGAAGGAGTTACAGACACAGAAAGGGAGAAAACCAGAATGACCCGTGTGGGAAATGGGAGAGCGGGTTTGCCGTTGATGGCTGGCCACAGAAGCAAACATATGGCCCTGGGCGTGTGTGCTCAGAGCCACACACGCACGCACACCCGCAGCCCTTGTCCATGGAGGAGCCTGGGGCAGACAGCCCAGAGTGGCGAGCACACCAGCATCCTCACCGTGGCCCCCGAGCCCCTGCTCCATCCCGAAGAACCATCGGGAGACTGGCTGCTTCCAAGGCTGAGCCTGGAATGACTGTGCTGCCAGCTGGAGTAAAATGCTCAAAGGACGGAGGGCATTGGAAGGGTTCCAAGATGCTATTGATAAAAGCCAGACTCACCAGCTCTGCTGTACATTTAAAACAATTTACAGTCAGATGCTGGAGATTAAAATAGAAGGGTCAGGGGCTTCCCTGGTGGCTCAGCGGTTAAGAATCCGCCTGCCAATGCACGGGACACAGGTTTGAGCCCTGGTCTGGGAAGATCCCACATGCCGCGGAGCAACTAAGCCCGTGCGCCACAACTACTGAGCCTGCGCTCTAGAGCCCGCAAGCCACAACTACTGAGCCCGCGTGCTGCAACTACTGAACCCACGTGCCTAGAGCCCATGCTCCACAACAAGAGAAGCCACCGCAATGAGAAGCCCGCCCAGCGCAAAGGAGAGTAGCCCCTGCTCGCCGCAACTATAGAAAAGCCCGCGCACAGCAACGAAGACCCAACACAGCCACAAATAAATAAATAAATATTTTTTTTTTTTTTTTTTTTTTTTAAAGAGAGAAGGGTGAGGGGAACTTCCCTGGTGCTGCAGCGGTTAAGACTCCGTGCTCCCAACACAGGGGGCCCGGGTTCCATCCCTGGTCAGGGAACTAGATCCTGCGTGCATGCCACAGCTAAGAGTCTGCATGCCGCAACTAAAGATCCTGTGTGCTGCAACTAAGACCCGGTGCAGCCTAAATAAATATTTAAAAAAAAAAAAAAGTGAGAGAAGGGTTCTAAAAGCCAGGTGGAGGGGCTCCTCCTATGAGCCAAACCCAGTCTCAGCAGCTACACAGCACTGATGCTGAGTGAGAGCAGCCCTCGGAGTAAAATGTCCCCGTCCAGACTGACACAAGCAAGAGAAAGGAACACGTGGGAGGGCAGAGTTTTCCCTTATGGCGGGACACAAGCCCTCAGGGTGGATGGGACGGCTGAGCAGTAGGAATGAGTTCACCCGAGAAGTCCTGGGGGCGCTAAGCTGGCGACGGAGGGGCGAGGGGCACAGGCACCCACATCAAAGGACAAGGGAAGCAAAGGGCGAAACAATGGGACAAACTGGGAGTAAACATCAGACAAACCCACATCAGGGCTCGGCAAAATTTTTCTTGAAAACGTTAGACAATAAATACTTTGGGTCTTAGGGGCAGCCTCAGGAAGGTGAGGGGGGCGTGGCTGCAGCTCCAAGGAGCTCTATTTATAGAATAGGCAGCACCTCTGACCCTTGTATTTGGCACAGGGCCAGAGTTTGCTGACCCCCCCCCCCCCCTTTTAAAAATTTTTGTGCTATCTCCCCCAAAAAAAATATGTCAAGGTCATCATGTGATGAGGAATTAACATTACCCAGCTCCTGGGAGGTGCCTCTAAACCCATGAGATTTCCTGAGTGATGGCAGCATCTGAGCCACATAACAGCCTTGACGGTTCACACCAGTGAGGGGCTCTGCCAGCCAGAAAGGACAACCACGGGATTAGAGTTCAGGGTCTTCACATCAATCAGGGCTATGAGATGAAACTCTGGACACCAAAGCTTGGGGGTGACCCACGTGTACTGTCAGAGGGGGATGAGAGGTAGGGGATGTGTCGGAGGACGTGACGTTCTGAGGCTAGGACCCTCCCAGACCTCACCTCACCCTGGGCATCTCTTCCTTTTGCTGATTCCGGCTTTATCTTTCTGCTAAGATAACACCATAATCATAAGTACAGTATCTCCTGAGTTGTCCTAGGGAACTATCAAAACTGAGGGAGTCTGTGGGGACCCCCCAATTTGTAGCCAGTGGTTTGAGGTGAGGGAACCCATGGGGACGCTGGAACCTGCAGCTGGTGTCAGACGCCCTGGGCAAGCGGGCCTCTGGGGGGCCATGCCCTGACCTCGAGTTTAGCCGTGAGAGCTGAGGAGACAATTAGGCCTCTTCCAGACTGGAGACAGACATGGGCCCAGGTGGGGTCCTGGGGCTGAAAGGTTGTTACTGGGGCACCTGGTAACACAGGCTCTGAGGGTTAGAGGGTCACAGTGTGTCAGTTTCCCGACTGGCTGTGGAGGAGAATGTCCCTGTTGAGGAAATAACTCAAGGTTTCAGGGGTAATGGGGCAGGTTGACGGCTTATTTGTCAACGTTTCAAAAAGAAAAAAGTTTTTATGTTATCAGTCCAACTTCTTTGGACATTTGAAATTGTGTCAAAAAAAGCCCACAGGATTTTTAAAAGTTAAAATTAAGTACGGGGTGGGGGCAGAAATGGACCCCGATGCCACCCTCCACCACCCCAGCCCCTGTGAGTGAGCCTGGGCGTGTGTGGTGCGTTCTGGTCTCCCCTCCCACAACAGGATGAGCCCGGCTGCCCTTGGGCAAGCTGGTCCTGAATTACTCACCACCCACGCTCCTTCCTTGGGCTCCTGCACGTACGTTGCCCTGTTACCCAGGACGCGCTGTGGGCCCCGAGGTCTCCAGAGGCCCCGTGGTCACCCTGCGCCCAGCCAGGGGTGCTCCATCAGGCCTGCCTGTCCTGGCAACTGTTAGGGCTGAGAGCTGACGAGACCGCACAGATTGTTGGGAAAATAGTTCTAGCTCAGCCTCTGAAAGCAAGCTGTGAAAACACCCTTTTCAGGAGGGAAGTGGAGAAGGCAGGGGTATACCGCGTCTGCCACGGGGTATCTAATGCTGGGAAACAGCAGCACGAAGGCAGCAGAAGGTGAGATGGCCCAGACCTGCTCACTGTGATCTTCAGAACCAGGCTGCTTGGGGACAGTCCCCACGGGTCCTGTGCGGTCCCTCATGGTGGAAAGCCACAGGAGAGCCAACCCCAGGCTCTGCCCTCATCAATCTCTAGGCTGTGGAGACTGGGAAACCCTGCAGGACACAGAGGCCACTGCCTAGAACCTGCCCAAGAGGGCAACTGGGAGCTCCAGGCAAACCCATCAAACAACCACCCTGGAAGACGTCGTGGGTGCAGCCGCTGCCAGCGAGCTGAGGACAGAAGGCCTTGTTTCATCCCGAAGATGGAATGAGGTAAAGCGTTTGGCGGTCTGCCCACCTATGGCTGCCACTGGGGTAAATTTCAACAAAGCTTCGGCCAAGTGCCCCAAGTCCTTGGCATCCTGAGCCTGCCCTGGGAAACCGACCCAGGCTCCCGAAGGGCAGCAGGAGCTCAGAGCTGGCAGAGCAGGACACCTGCAGTGGCCTCCTCAACCAAGGTCTCATATGAGCCCCCTCCCCAGGCAATCGTGCACCCCCAGTCCAACCATGGCTTTGGGTTAGCTGAAGTTTCACTCAATGCCAAGAACTCGCTCTCAAGACCCTGTGGCTGTAGGAATTCCTGGATCTGACTGGAGCAGGAATTCCTG